ATGGTGTTTGTAAGTAGGATCACAAGTCTGCATCTTGTACAGCAATTAACCACTAAGAAGAATATATGCAGTGTATTATTTGTTGAAACTGTACTTTTGATTTGATTTGAAACTGTCTCATCGCTATGTTTATCAATAAAACTTTGAAAAGAAAAAAAATAAAACTTGATTCTACTTGAAGTTAGAATTAACTTAAAAAATCAGGGCTGGTGAGATAGCTCAGTGGACTAAGCAACTGCTTAGGCAAGCACAGGGACTAGGGTTTGATCCCTGCCACCACATGCTGCGTTGGCTCCTCCCCTGGGGCACACTGATTCAGCACATGCCTGTAATCCCAGCACTGGGGAGGCTGAAACAGGAGGATCACTACAAATCCGAGCTAAATAGTGAGACCTTGTATCAAGTACATAAAAACAAAACAGAACAAATTCTTCAAATACATTAAAAATAATAATAAAAATAAAATAAAAAATCAACTCCAGAGAAATAATCGTTAGAGAAAAAAATACACTAAATTTAAGTGCTATGTTAGTATTGGACACTCTTTTAACTGTAGGAAAAAAAAGTTCTAGTGTACTGAGCCTGAAAATTCACAAAGGTTTCACATTTTGAAGCTGCTTTAATTAGGAGTTCAGTTAAAACTTGCTTGTAATTCAGGGTATAATTAAATCTAGTAGTTAACAGAATTATTCTCAACTAATGAATGTATGGTATAATATTTTGTTCTAGGAGTTTGTCAAGAATAAAAACATGTAAATACCTCAGTATACTGATACAATTTAGAGCTTTCTTCTTTTTTTGTAGATAGGGTCTTATTATGTAGCACTGGCTGGCTTTAATCTATTTATGTAATCAAACTGGCCTTGAACTCAGTGATCCTTCTGCCTCAGCCTTCTGAGTGCTGACATTACAAGCCTGTGCCACCATGCCCTGCTACTTCTGAGGTTTGAGAAAGCTGCAAGGTAGAGGTTTATGGAATTTATGTAATATAAAAAAATGTTACCTATGCACATGTGTATATGCACACATGGGTGTCTCACATCTGTATTGTACAACTGTACTGCCCACCACGCAACAATGAATTAGCAACTTATGGCTTACTCGTGAACAAAGACTATTAAGCACAGCGACAATGTAACTGTGCCAAGCCTTGAGAGCTCTTCTGGATAACAGCCTTTCCTTCTAATTAAAAAACACCGAACACATGGCACCACAGTTTTGTATGATCATGGGCTAATTACCTGTTAGTCCATGGAAACATTGTAGGTGGAATCTGTGGGTAATCTTACTTACAAAGGTGCAGACGTAAGGATTAGATGTCAGGTATTGTTTCAGTATAGAAACTGCAAAGTGTGATGGGCCCCAAGAGAGGACAGGGATAGTTCCTAAGCAGATAACTGATTTTATGGAGGCTGGTACATTAAGAAACCCTGCTGGAAGTGTTAAGCATATTGCCAAGAACTGAGTTAGTGTGTATCATGGTTTGTACCTACATGTACCAAGGTCTCATGTGTTTCTAAGTGGGGCTTTTAGAAGGTTATGGATCATGTGGATTTGATTAATCAGTTGCTGAGTCCACTGATGAGCTTATAGCTAAATGCAATCCTGGGAGGGAAAGCCTGGTCAAAGGTGGGTCACTGCCGGCTGGGCTGGAAGGTTTTCCACGCTCCCTCTCATTTCCTGCTACAATGACATGAGCTGTTTCTCTGCCTTTCTGGGAGCCAGCAGGCTATGAACTAAAACTTTTACAAACTGTGAGGCAAAATAAACCTTTTTTCCTTAGAGTTGTAGTTGATGGTTATTGTATCTCAGTGACTAGAATGTAACTAAGACAACGTGCAATGTATGGTTAATATTATATCAAGATTAATATTATATCAAGATTAATAACTAAATTGGGCTAGAATATTGAATGGAAAATGAGTATGTGCTTGAATAACTTAATGGATTATGCACTTCATAAATGTTTATATACATGCTTATGTACACAGGGAATGGGTTTTTATGTCTAATTAAACATTAACGCATGTATGTATAACATGATTATACATACATGCATGATACATATAGGTGTTAGAAATACAGCGTTTAATATTTATGTAGTATTTTAAACAATGTATGTGTACTTCAAGGAGAAAAACCAAGGAATAATTCAAGTAGAATTTCAGCTTTGGGAGTTGATGCTGAAACTATGGGATTCTTTAACTGCCTAATGGAGACTATTTTTCCATTTTTTGATTTACAACATCAAAGTGTTACACTACATGGACACTTCATTTAAGAAGCTTATTCTCAAACAGACTTGTTAGAACAATGATAGCAACAAGATATAGGACAGATACTATTTTCTGTTAATACAAGCATGTTCTGGCTGACAGCCAATGCATGCAGATATCCAACTGGGAAACAAATGTAATTTTCCCTTCTTGACTGTCCGAGACTTTGCAAGAAGCTGAAAAACCACTCAAGTGCTCCTTCTCTAACCCTTGCCCAGTCGCACATTTCTGTCTTCCATCTCAGTTCTCTGAAATGTAAAATAGAAGAGGGTTCTGCTGAACTGACTTCTAAAGCCAGCCCTTTATAGAGGTCCATACCTCAAAATAGGGAAGATAGCTCTGCAGTCTAAGTGCCTGCCTGGCAAGTGCAAAGACCTGGGTTTGATGCCCTGTACTGCACGCTGTGCCAGCCACTGAAACCCGGCCTGGTGGCACACACCTGTAATATCAGTGCTGGGGAGACTGAGATAGGAGGACACTGCAAGTCCCAGCTGCACAGTGAGACCCTGTACCAAATAAATAAATGAATAGGTGCGCTCTGGCAGTCATCCGGTCACCATCACTGCTGTGCCTCTGGTGGTGTCAGAGCATGCAAGGGGATCATTGGATGATACTGGTTGTCCCATGGTCACTCCGGCAGCCACTTTAGATCCAGTTTTGGCTAGCCACCTGTAGAAGGGACCTCTGGCCTACAGGCATCCTATTCTCAAAGATAATGGCTAGGTCATTTAGGTGATATAAGATTAAGACCTGGCAGACACTACTTCATCAAGTGAAATACCACTGTATGGGTAAATTACATTTTATCTATTCATTAGTCAAATGATCGCTATTTGGGTTGTTTTGTACTCATTGGTTATTATGCATAATACCATGAAAACCTAAGTAGGTTTTTAACGGAGTTTTGGATGATAAGCATGACTAAAGCATTGGCTACTGGTGATCCACTCAACCTTTAATCCCTCTTTAGAGGTCAAGCATGGGGCTTAAATTCCCAATCCTCTGGCTGTGCCTTTTTTTTTTTTTTTTTGTATTTTAGGGAAAGGTCTACAGGGTGTTCAGGGTATCACTACTAGATTGGACTTGTTTACAGGCTTCCCAAGAATGGGGATTACAGGCACGCGCCACCACACCCAGTCTCAATTGCTGTCTCAGCATGCCCCAGGAGTGGGGCCAGCACAGCAGGTCCAGGGATCAAACCCCAGGCCCCTGCACCTGCTTGCAGGCACTTTAATCTGCTGAGCTACCTGGCTGGCCCTGCCTTGCTCTTTCTTGTGGCCAGCCCCACGGTGAAGCTGCCTATTGGAGGCAGGAGTAGATCAGCCAACTTAGTAGCATATAAAACGACACCACTTTCAAGGTTCCAAAGTTTTCAAAGCTGAATGCCAAGAAATGCAATGGAAGACCAAGTATATACACAATATTATAATCCCTTAACCAAGCAGCTTTTATGTTGTATCACTCAAGCCAAACTCAAGACACCACAAAAGTAAAAAGCACTTTATTTGGGGTCAGTGCTCAAGAACTACAATTGAGGAGATGGTGTCAGATGGCTCTGCAACAGTGTCCCAAGGCGGCAAAGATGGGAGCTTGCATGAGTTATTGAACACTAAGAAAGAACAGGAGCATTCACGTCCCAGAAAGAAAACCGGTGAGAATACAGGAACAAAATGGAAATTTCCAAATGACAGCCTAGCAGCTTCTTCACATGAATCTTGAGCTCGCCTGGGTACAACCTAATTGTTTTTGGTTGCAGATGTGTGTGCCTACATGGTGGATATACCAAAGTTCACACTCCTGGCAGCATCTGGATTGTGCTTAAATCCCAATTATTAATGGCCCCGACCCCCATTTTGAAAAGCTTTTTCAAAGTGCTGCATTCACTTTAATTTTCTTTTTACTTTCAGTCAATTCATCAATGTTAACATTTTTTATAGATTCAACTTCATCAAAACTTTATTAATATAATCAATCATATGATGTCACTATGCTGTTTTTATTAGCTTTTCTTGTAATTCAATACCATTTTCATATATATTTCCTGTATTTTTGGGCATTAACACTCTTTATTTATTTTTTTGGTGGTACCAGGGATTGAACTCAGGCCCTTGTGCTTGCCAGAGAAGTGCTTATTCTACTGAGCCATCTCCCCAGCCCAGCATTCTTTATTTTTGAAGTTATAAAATTAATTTCTTCTAGTTTCTTGTATTAGTATGTTATGTGTTTCATTGGGACATAACGGAAAATGCAAAATACCTCATTATGTGATTGCCTCAAAAATGGCACTTGACCTATTTAGAACCAATGACTGACAAAGAGCATTTGCTCTAAGACAAATCTTGCTACTGGTATGAGCACAAGTAAGCAAGGCAAGAACTTCTCAAAGTATGGAGCCAACAGAAGGATGGCACCAAGTGGCTGCAGCAGAAAACGGGCCTTGATTATGTCATGTGGTCCTTATCTAGCAGTACTTAAAACCAGATCTATCCTTGAACTTCATGTGATGTGAGTCATTAAGTTCTAATTCAATTTAGCTCATTATACCCATGAGTCTGACTTCATGAACATTTTTCATTGTGTAACTATGCTCTAGAGTCTATGTTCTAACATTTGATTTTATGGTAAATTAACTGATAAATTTAAAAATGAAAATAGGGGATTAATAAATAACATTTTTAAAAGGAGACAAATTTTTTCATAGAAAAATAGCTTTGTGACTCCTCAAAACTGTGTATTACGAAAAGAAATTTGAAAGCAACTTCTTTGGCACCAAAGACAGAAGCTAGTCCACGCTTCAGCAGCACATATACTAAAACTGGAACGATACAGAGAAGATTAGCATGGCCCCTGCACAAAGACAGAAGCTAGAAGTAAATCTGTAAGTTTCCAATCTTGAAGTTGACTGACATTTTTCATATGCTAAAGCCCAATATTTTACTCTGAACAGAAATGTGTGTGGGGTAGAGATCAATAACGTATCTCTGAGCAATTTAACTTTCCCCTAGGAAACTGCAATGGGGGCGAACTTATAGCACACAACAGGCTGTTTTTATCACTGAGGGCTCCCAAAGGTTCAGTATCACTGGATGCATGAAATATATACCTCTTTCCTCTTTTTCTGTCTCTCAACACTGTTTTTCCTTCTTTCATTAAAATTTAATTCAGCAAAACACTTGCCCTGATAGATAAAAAACCTTTTAAGAGCAAGTATTCTCTAATTTCTAGTTTTTAATCTTCATTTTTGGTTTCTTGAATAAGGTCTTAACTTCCTTATTAAAATATGGAAACCATATTGAGGTTTACATAAGATACATACCTGGAAAGCTGGGGACAGTGGCATGCACAGGAAATACCATCTACTCAGGAGGACGAGGCATAGAGAATGACATTTGAGGCCAACTGAACAACTTAGCAAGGCCCTGTCTCAAAATGAAACACAAAAAGGGGGGCTGGGGATATAGCTCAGCACTCACTGGGCTCAACCTTTGGTACTGCAAAATACAAAAGCCAAAAAAGTCCCCAAACCTAAAATCCTGGGAAAACAGTATACATACGAATAACTGAAATTCATGGTGAAATAATTTAACGTATACACATAATCACTTTCTTTAAACTTTCAGAAAAAAGACTTACTTAATAAGCAGAATTTATTACAGTTTTTCCTTGTGTGGCAGACTGCTGTTAAGGGCGCCGGGTGAATCATACCTCCTGTGATCTGTATCCCTGTGCAGCCCCTCACAGTCTCTGGCCATGTGACTGACTCTGCCTGATGGCGATGACTTATTAGCAATTTTTAAATTTTATTTATTTTTTTACTATAACAATGACAGAACAGGCATGGCAAGCTTTTGTACAGTGCAGCCTGCCTTCTTAGGTTTTCACTATCATGGGAAGAAGCCCAATTAGCCTCATGGAGGTTTAAGAGACCATGCAGAGCAGATGTGTTCAACTCACAGAACTATGAAAAATCATAAATCTTGTTTAAAAACCAGAGTTTTGGGGCAATTTGTTATGAATAATGGATAATAAAGTACAGAGCCTAATTTGTGTTGTATACAATAGATAAAAATTAAAGCTATGTTTAATTTAAAAAATTAAGGTCTTTTAGCAGATGTTATGATTAGATTTGCTAGACATTTGAAATTCCCCTTTCTATGTAGATTCAATTATTCAGTCCATTTAAGTACTAGTTATAGTCAACACTTGTAACTGTTACCCTAGAATATTCTATAGGTATAGACTGTGACAACATAATTAATGAACAAAGTATACAGCAAATATTTCTAAATATTTAACTGTACATTTCATAAAAAAGATAAGATTCTCATCTTTGTTTTCAAAAAATAAGCATACTTGCCAACATTATTTTTTATAGAAGCCAGTGTTCTCAAATCTCAAGCTTCATTTCCTATGTTTTAGAGAATCATAATCTCTTAATACATTTTTAATATCTTTAAAAATTAAAAAAATCATAAGATATTTTTATTTAACACATTCAAATTTAATAGATTACAGTATAACCAGCTACCACTGAATACTTTCCAGTACAGAGAAGCCCATGTATCAGAGAAATCAATTCTCTGTATTTACTTTTATTAAAAAGAGGTTTTTGGTAGTTAGAACAAATAATCTCTCGTTTGTTGCCTGAAAGCCTAAAATAGGATCATTGGTTTCCAAGCTGGCTACTTGCTGCTTAGCAACCTGTCCCACATGCCTGCCTTCCTTTCTATTGTACAGCACGGTGGGCATGGGTGCGGGCTGCCGGTAGATGAACACGTGTCGGATGCACTCACAAAGGGCTGCATAGGAGTAATTTGGAGCACAGGTGAAAAATTTTTTGTCTCTCTTTGATGCTTGGACATAACCTGCCAAGAACATAAAACAGAATTATTATTATAAATTAAAGTGCGTAAGCAGTAAATATAATGCTCAAAACAGTTTCTAGAATTGAGAGCCATTAACTATTTGCCAGCTTTTAATTGGTGCAAATTTTAATCCTTTAGTAAAACAACAGACATGTTTTCAACTCTTTAAGAAAGGCACAACAGTCCCACTTTATCTCTATTAATTGAAACATTAAAAATGTGAAATCTAAGATACTGTATGCCAAAAAAATCTTTAAATGCCAATTCAATATATAGACTGATGAGTAACTGACGTGTATAAAAGAAAATAACAGATTTTCTTTTATCAAATAAGTGAGAAACGTTTATACACTAGCATCCGAGTTATTCTAGGATCCGTTCATAAAGCAGGCCTGAAGAACTGCTCCTAGGGCACCTCTCAAGGCTTTCTCTCATCATCCTTATGATGCTTATGGATTTCAAAACCAAAACTGTAATAGGATTTTGGTATATTTCAGCCTTCTGAAGTAGAGTCCTGAGACCACTACATGCTAAAAATGACTCAAGTATGCTCCAAAAATCCTAATCAGAATATCCTTGAAAACTAATTGAAAAAAATCTTAACCATGTCTTAAAATCAAGTACATGTTGGAAAAAACATCCCTTCAGATTACACAGATAGTTACACTCTGAAAATTCAAGGTACAATTTTCAAATTGGAATATGGTTACTGAATTACGTGAAATAAAAAATGTTAATGGAACATCAGTGAAAACAGAACTTACCAACAACAAATGAGCAAAGCCATGGGGTACAGGAAGATTAGCACTGTTTTTTGTTTTTTTTACATATTAAGTAAGGTTTGAAGAATGAAAAGTGAAGTGGTGAAAAAAAAAAAGTGAGGTGTGGTAGATACTTATTTGAGTAGCTTAGACTTAGCTACTTGTAATAAGCTGTCCAGGCAAACTTTCGAGAACTAGGGATGTCTGTTACATTACGTCTCTTTGTCTGATGTAAAGTCGATATAACTGAGACTCCAGCATGTAATTCCTCCACAGCTGAGGCCTGGAAACACAAAGGACCTGAGCCTCTACTAGAACGTCCCACTCAGTGAAAAGAGAATGAAAAAAATAAAAATTACAGCACAGAAGCTAGAGCTACAAATATGAGGGCACTATAAACTCCACTAGCATCACAAACAATAAGTATATGATTTAAGACAAGATTAGTCAATCACTTTTTGTATTTCTGGTCATAAGAAAATATTTGAAGCCTGAATCGGCCAAGTTAGTAGCCTACATTATTAACAAAAAGGGATACTCGACAATTTCTATAGTTACTGTTGTACCCATATATTACCTAAGAGTATGCTTCTTACGTCTTGCTGCCAGTTTAAAATAATTTTTCAATAAAGCAATAAATATGGCTAGCTCACATTAAAAATTTTGTCTCACAATATAATGTATTCTGACATAAAACCAATGATTGTATAGTTTATAAATATGCATTTTTAAAAATTTTAAAACTTGTTTTAAGGGCCAAACAGCTCAGCAGATTAAAGTGCCTGCAAGCAGGCGCAGGTGCCAGGGGGTTCGATCCCTGGGCCTGTCGTGTCGCCCTACCCCTCGGGCAAGCTGAGACAACAACTGAGACTGGGCGTGGTGGTGCATGACGGTCATCCCAGCTCTTGGGAGGCTGCAAACAGGCGGATCACTATGAGTCTGATCTAGTAGTGAGACCCTGAACACCCTATAGACCCTGAAAATAAAAAAATAAAAACCCAAAAAATAACAACAAAAAAACCCAAAAAATTTTTTAAACTAATAACTTACACTTCATCTTATCAAATAAGTTTGCTTTCTACTCATCACCACTTTCCTTAAGTGTTCTCGCTATGATGGTTCTTTGTACCTCAGTTCAATGAAAGGTGTCTCTCACTACATATCACCTTAGAGCAATTACATTTTTTAAATGTATTTGGTACAGGATCTTACTACACAGCTCGGACTTGTAGTAATCCAGTTTCAGCCTCCCCAGAGCTGGGAATATAGGTGTGTGCCACATGCCTAGTCTTGTGGCCAGTTCAGTGTACCCAGGGGCAAGGCTGGCAGGGCATGGGTTATGGGGGATTGAACTCGGGTCTCTGTGCTTGCCTAAGCAGGCACTTAGTTCACTAAACCGTCTCGCCTGCCCCAATTCCACATTTTTGATAATTACTCTGAAGAAGCTTCTTGGTGTGGCACTAAGGATGAGCGCAGGGCCTTCACACTGAGACACATCCCAAACCCTTTTAAGTTTAATATAATCTATGCATATATAAATTTGTGGTGCTGTAGACTCAATCCCAGACCTCTGCTTTACCCAAACTCCCAAGTTTTATTATTTCCTGAGATAGGTCTTGCCTAGCTGCTAAATTATCCATGCTGGGTTCAAACTTGTGTTCCTCCTTTCACAACCTTCCAGTGTGCTGGGCTTACAGGTATTTGCCACTAAACCTGGTATTCTGAATAAGTTCTGCGAAGGCCTCTCCATACAGCTTATGGAATTAAAATTAAAAAAAGCACTGGTTGGAACAATTCAAGTGGTCAGATAACCATTTCCACTTTCTTTTTTTTTTTTATGTGGAACTGGGAATTGAACTCAGGCCCTTGCACTTGCCAGGCAAGCACTTATTCTACTGAGCCATCTCCCCAGCCCCTCCACTTTCATCCTATATTGATCTTCACAAGCCTAAGAACAGATGAACTCTCTGTACTAACAAGGCCAAGTACAATATAAGCAACCTAATCTTAGCATGAATCAGTCTAAATGTAGCTAGGATCATTCAACTTTTTTTAAAGAGTGACCTTCAAAAAACCCCAATGTTTTGGTATAATGCACAAAGCTGTGAAAGGGTTTGCTTCATTGCTACCTAGAGCATTGAATGTTGCGATGTGTTCCCACATATCCTCGCCTGTGCTGGAGCGTGGGTGCCAGAGGAGGGCGTCAACGTCATGGCGCAGGCAGAAGCAGGGCATCTCTTTAGGATCCACTGTGACAGAGAAGAGGTATTGGTTGCCTCCAAGATTGACCTAAAAAGAGACAAAAAATTTCCTCAACAGCAAAATAAATAACAATGACAAAAACTCACCTACAGTATTGTCAGCAACTGTTCGACTTTTAACCTGCTCTGATCTAGTCTTTACAGCACTCCTCGAAGAATGTGCCACTGCTATATTCAGTATAAAGCTGAAGGAAGCACACACAGTTCGCTTCACTGGCCCAAAGCCAGCCTAATTATAAGTTATGAAGATGAAATGTGACTCAGGGTCTGTGTTCATAGCCACTATGCTATCTACTCTTAACTGACAGAAGTTAGTTTTAAATACAATAGATATAAAACACCAATTTAATAAGCTAAATAGTTTTAAATCACAGAATACAAACATGAAATTTACTAGCTAACTTTGCAACTACTAAAATATCTGAGCACATTCTATATGTCAGGCATGCTGTAAACACTAAACTTCTCAACAACAAATGAGAGTGCTACTATCTTCATTTCACAGGTAAAAGAATACTCTTGGAGAGCTTAAGCAACTCGTTCTAGGCTGCACAGAAATATCACAGTACTGGGATTAAAACATCTAATTACAAATTACTTCAGTGTACTACTTCCTTAAGGGACTCATGTCAGTAATATTATATTAATAATTGTTATTGCAATACTGATGCCTAAAAGAATTCATTTTAATACAAAACAGCCAAATTAAGATTCATAATTGGATTCTGGCTATAGAGAAACATTCAATGGAGACAGGTTGTAAGGATATTCTTTACTAGAAATGTTATGATCAGACGTAACAAAAAAATATGCTAAAATGTCAAACTGTATTCCAACCAAAAGCACATTAAATGTAGAAAATACAAAAAAGAAAGAAAATGTACTGTATTGGATAAATACTGAATTGATTATGTACATTTTAGCAAGGAGTAACAATAAAATATTGTTTAAATAAGAAGTGGGGGAGGGGGGCCTGAGCTGTATTCTATATGGAAGCTGTCAAATGGCTCTCTAGCAAGAGGATTTATTGGTGCAACTCTGCCACCCCAGGCTACTGGTCAGGAAATCCAGACAAAGCAACCCGCTTACGCTTCCCAAGTGCAGCCTGTAAATGGGACTTCTGGGTAGGGCCAGCGCTTGCTCTCCACACAAAGAATCCAGGTGGCACACAGAGACCATAGATTATTCCTTCCTTCCTTTAGCTTCTGATCATCAGTGGCTAAGTAAGATTTTAAAATTACTGCCATGGATGTTGTATACATGAATAATAATGAAATATGGAAAATCATTTTTTAGGAATAATAAGAGCAACTTATATAATCATAAGAGGAAGTTGGTTGAACTAATGGTTGAACTGAGTCTTGGAAGAGGGTAGGGATTTTAAAATTACTTAATTAACTTTAAGGTTTTAAAATTACTTTGGATTTTGGTGTACCCTGGGTAGGAACTACAGTACCAATGAGAAAAAGATAGACAAGAGATAATAGCTGTGTCAGGTGGAGGTCCTCTCTCTAAGCCGAAGAGAAGAACCGTAGAGCATTTATTTATACCCTTGAAAGGTTGATGTCTATTTCAACCTCCACCCAGCAGTCAGTTAACAAGCTGTAGTGGTGTGTCTACATGCTTCGAGGAGCTCCCATGCTCTCAGGCTGGCTTCATCCTGCACACTTCACTACTTCCCAGCTTCAGCAGCTCCCTACGACAGCCCCAGCACCAGGCCTCTTCTCTGTACCTATAGTCCCATATTCTCCCTTGTTTACCTAAGGCTTTCAGAGAAAGGAAAAATAAAAAATAAAAAAAAGGAAATAATACTTTCATAAAAATGTACTTACTTTTATGAGCTAAGAGAGTAGTAACAGTCTGATGCCCATAGCTGACTGATCAGAGCCTGCTATAGCTGAGTGGACAGTACTGAGAAAAGGACAAGGGAACCTGTGCTAGAAGTGAGGACCAAGGGAGACTACTGATGAGAAGTAAGAGGATGAGGAGAAACGGCTCCTAGCGAGCCCCTTATTCCAACTTTGGTGTTCATTCTCTTTGCCTCCCACTTATTTAAACCTATTTTCACTACTGTGATTATGTCAAAGTGTAATTAATTATAAAACTAGCACAATTTGCCTTTGCCTTACCTTTGACATAACTTCTACCGAGACTCCTCCTGATTTGATGGATCCCTACCCTCTTCCAAGACTCAGTTCAACCATTAGTTGAACTAGCTTCCTCTTAAAATTATTTTCCACATTATTATTATTTCTGTATATACCATCCATGGAGGGCTGAATATTATCACCCAAAGATGTCCACATCTAAATCTCCTGGAAGTCCTTATGGAGCAAAAGGTTATCCATAGATGTAATTAAGTTTAAAATACTGAGAAGGATAGATTATCCTGGGTCATGTAGGTGGTCCTAGTGTATTGGCAAGACTTTTTTTAATAAGGGTTACAGATACAAAATACAATGGTTCCACAGAAGCAGAGGGACAGAGACTGGAAAATGATAAGTGTTGGCTTTGCAGATGAAGGGTGAGGTCATCAGCCCGCTCACACAGGCAGTCTCTACAAGGGAGAGAAGGCAAGGAAGTGAATCCTCCTCTCCCAGAGCTTCCAAAAAGAACGCACTCCTGACAACTCACTTTGGGACTTCTGACACCTGAAAGTGTAAGAGAATAAACTGTTTAGCCCCTAAATCTGTTGCAGCAGCAATAGCAGCCTGAAATAACAGCCATCTTACAAGATCAAATATACTAAGAATCAGAAGTTTGTCTTTTCTCCACATTCTAGATAAGATGTTTTCTGAATGATTATGTAGAAAATGATTATTTAAATTTTTTTCTCACTAAGGCTTATCTTTTTTCAATCTGGGACTAAAACTTACGCAGGAAAAAAAATCTTGTTTAGGTTCTTAAATACTACTCATTGGGGGTGTAAATAACTTTACTAGGGTTAGGAGCCTGAAGACCTAACAAGCACAAAGCTCTCCGTGCTTCTTAGCTGTTACTTCTGGAAATCTTACTTTCTCAATAATTCTTTCCCTTGGCTTTCCAAAGTTTAGAGTAAAATGCCCAAACAGCTTTGATTACAATTTATGAAAGCTTCTCAAAATCTAATCCCAAAGTACAATCCAATATTGGCTCCATTACTCTCCTCAAAACGTAGCAAAATGAGATCACAATTTATAAAACTATCCTACTTTCCCACTCCTTTATGTTCTTCTTGGTGCTTATCTTATTGATTATCCTGTGTCATACACTGGTGGGTCTTTCTTTGAGGAAGTTTCTCCTAATGTTAATGAAAAGAAATAATATAACAGGTGTATACTTTAGAACTCAGTTCCTTATTGCCCTAATATATTTAAGGGTGAGAATTATGACCTTGAGTAAGATACATAAGTCTTGCTTTATTCCTTTATAAATACAGTGATAACAGTACTTACAAGGTCTGATAAAAGTACAGATAATGTTAAATAAAAATGGAAAACATAATTCAGTGAAAGATATACTGCCATTAGTCCCATTCAAGTATTTCTGCTTGCTTGGAACACACACCCAGCCATTCTTGCCACTTCCTGAGGAAGCTCTGGATGTCTTTTTTTGTGTCTTGTGCTCTTGCAGCTGCCTTTATTATGCTTCATATTTGCCTTTTGTTATGCTTCATATCTAGAAGCTCCCCCACCCCACACCTCAATTTCATGTGGCACAGGTGGGGCTTCCCAAAGGTGCCGAATCATGGAGACTCTACAACTAATTGTGAGTTAGGATGAGGGCATGGTTGGAAGAGGTTGGTCACTGGAAGTCTATCTTAGCATGGTGTCTGTCCCTCAACAGTTCTCTCCTCCCTCTGCTTGCACAAGATGAACAGCTTTCCTCCATTTTCACCATGCCTTCCTGCTTTGAAGCTGGCCAAATCTGGAGGAAAAGCCTGAGCCAGAAAAAAATTCCTTTTAGCTGTGGGTGTCAGGCCTGTGTGTCAGGGACAGGAAAATGACTATCGAAGAATTTGTTACCAGAGAGGTGGAATCACTGTGGGTCTTGGCCAAATGAACAGCTAGCATCAAGAAGTCAACCAGTAACAAATGCTGGAGGGGCTGTGGGGCAAAAGGAACCATTCTCCACTGTGGGTGGGAGCGTAGGCTGGTGTAACCACTATGGAAATCAATGTGGAGATTCCTCAAAAAGCTAGGACTGGAGATCCTATTCAACCCAGCTATTCCCCTCCTGGGTATTTTTCCAGAAGCCTGAAAACATATCACAGTGACATGTGTGCATCCATGTTCTTGGTAGCTCAATTTGTCATAGCTAAATCTTGGAAGCGCTCAAAATGCCTATTAACTGAGGAATGGATAAAGAAGACATGATATTTTTATACAATGGAGTATTACTCCATTATGAAAAAAGATAAACTTCAAGTTTTTATAGGTAAATGGATGCATCCAGAGACCACATTCATAAATGAAATACATCAGTCCTACATGTGTAAACATTGCATTGTTTCATTAGTGTAAGAACCTGAAAGAGTAAATAAAATTTGAAAGGTACAACAGATGCTGTGAAAGGGAAAGCATCTGTTCGAGGCGAAGGAACAACTGCGATGAGGAAAAGGACAAAAGACCTGCTGGCCCTGCCCCAGGGCAGGCTGAAACAGCCACCGAGACCGGGCGTGGTGGTGCGCACCTATAATGCCAGCGCTAGGGAAGCTGACAACGGGAGAATCACTATGAGTCCGATCTGTATAGTGAGACCCTGTAGACTCTGCAGACCCTGTACCAAATACCAAAAAGAAAAAAAAGACAAAAGAAAGGCAGAAGGAAAACACACACACACACACACACACACACACACACACACACACACCCCATAGCTGGGATAACTACTGCTCATTTCTGGTCTATTGAAAAGAGCAGTTGATGCTTAATTTTTTTTCTCCTTTTTAATTTCTTGTTACTTTGTTTTGACCAATTTTGCATGCTTATATCTGGTAATCTGAACAACTAGCTTGAAGACAACAATATGCAATATAACAACCACTAT